CTTTCATTTCGCGAAGGCTTGATTTTATGATAGCGTCAGTTTAGTGAAGGCTTTTACGGCAGGCTACCAGCAGCTGCATGCACGGTGATTAGCGTAGTTGTTCACGGACTGCATTTGATGAAGATGGCGTTTTAATCGTATTTTTTAAAAAACGGAGAAGGAAATGAATGCACGAGGATTTCGTTCGTAAAAACCCGCTTGCTGTAGACGGTGAAAGCGAAACATGGACTATACTTCGTACCTTTCGAGCCTTAATGCTGTTAAGACGAGCTTGGGAATACATAGCGATGCGCTGACTTGAGTGTAAGAGAAAGAATACGGTAAGAAACAGAGGAAGAAGGGTCATTTAGCATTGGATAACTTCATTTCCCATTCGTACATTTAGTATAAAAATTACATATAGTATTTGTGTGCTGAAAAATGAGTGCGAAGGCGACGGCCTTGCGTTTTTGATTTCAACGTTTAGTTTTGATCGCTACATTGTCTGTAGGATGACAGCTTTCAGCATCATTTGGTGTATTTGGATTCGCGCTTGGCACAGTTTGTGGCGGACTGGTAACTCGACGTTTCCAGTTCAGTGGCCGTGCCGCGGCAGTGTATGTTCTGGCGTTATCACTAATTAACACGTTGCTGTTTCTCAGCAAGGCGTTCATTGGTTGCTATTCAGTCGTGAACGCTGTCGGTGCTAATGGATTGTTCGTTTTTAATTTTCTTCTATAATTTTATTTGAAGAAAAAAAAAACAAGAAACACAGGAAAAAATAGTATGGGACAAACAAAAGCAATGAATATCGGATTCGAGCAAAAAATGAAATAAAAAGAAATATAAGAGATCAACTGAGAATAGATAAATTGTTGATTCATTGTCGTGTTCATTACGGCCGTTAAAGCAGCTGGTAGCTTCTCAGTTACTTATTTTGTTTTTGTTTCATCCACATATTTCTATCTAGATGCTCAGACAGACCTACCGCACTGTAACAATTGCTGTTAAGTGACGTGTGTAAATTTAGCCGAACTACCATATACTCAGCCCGTTGTAGCACAACATGAAAATGGGCCAGACCACAAACTACTAAAATTTGGCGCGGCAAGGCCCAGCAAGGTTAGGCCGAACTGAA